AAAATCTTTAAAAAAAAAAAAAAAATTTTCAAAATTATATCTATTACCCAAAAAGAGATACCTATGCATGTCAAAGTATCTTACCAGGCATGTTGTTGCTTATCTTCCTGAAAAACAACAATCAGTTCAGATAATATATTTTAAAAATTGGCAAACCAGTTATTTGCTCTTTAAAAACCAGCAAAACTGGTTTAATGATGTCTTTCAACTTTATTTTCCAGACTTTTAATTCAGAAAAGTAAGCCATGGGGAAGATACAGGAACTGAATTGAAACTATTATAAATATATGAAAAATGTAATACATGAAAAAACTTCTGAGTATGGTATCCTGATTGTGAATGTGCCTTCAGTTTATACTGCCTCAAAGCAGAAGTAACTGACCATGGCTACTTTTCATTCTTTAGGAATGTTTATCCATCTTACTTACAGTATTGGCGATTGTATCCATATCTGAGAAAGTTCTGGAAAAATAATATGTAAGGTGTACACCATAGAACAATCATTAATAAATAAGCCAAAACAAGTTTAACTAGTAAAACAATTACACTTTAAAATGATGTATAGTGTGGTGAATTCTGTTTTATTTTGTTAGGTAATGGGCTCTCAAAGTAATCTCTCCGAAGAAATAGAAGAGCAAACACAAGGGAAGATAAAAGAACTGAGTGGAAGCTACAACAAGTACATGGAAAGTGTGTTGAAACAGCTTTTGAACATTGTTTGTGATGTGAAGCCAGAAATCCATGTAAACTACAGAGCCACCAACTAAATGTGCACCCTACTGTTCAATAAATGGTATATGCATGCCACCTGGTTAAGAAACTTGAAATGTAAACCTTAAAATTACTAGACATCTACAGATTTCAATGTGACATAATTCACACAAGAGCACTGAATTTGAAAGCAAACAAACAAAAAGTTGTTGCATCTTTCTTGGTAACAGGCATGACTTGTCATTTAATGTGAAGTAAATCAAATATGCGGAGTAACATATTTTTTGACACTTGGCAGAAAAATATGAACCTGGCCACTTTTTAGTGAATATGTGGTTTAAAAAAAAATGCTTCTTTTTAGCAATTTAGAAAATTTTTCTTTCTTGTAGTTGTTAAAAGATCATTTTTTTTTAATTTTATTATGTTATGTTAGTCACCATACAATACATCATTAGTTTTTGATGTAGTGATCCACGATCCATTGTTTTCATATAACACCCAGTGCTCCATGCAGTACGTGCCCTCCTTAATACCCATCAC